TGTGGCTTATTTCTTGCACCTTATTACCTCCCTGTCTGTCCATAAACTGTCATCTATATTCATCTATTTTTACTGAGCAGATGGAAAAGAGAAAGAGGAAATTTCATTTGGCAGTGCAACACTTAAACATTTATTTTAGTGTCCCTGTACCAAGTGCCCACTGGCGCTACCCCAGATAACAAAAGTAAAAGCAAGCAAGTTATTTGCTCAGGTTACTTCGTGTTGATGTAGCCTTGGAAATTCGCGTACACGAGAAATATTGTATTACGTTTCTTTTACCTGGAAAGTATAAACACATGGCTTTCCTAAAGGTAAATATGGGTGGGTGGGGTGGGGCAGTGATGTGTTTTCTTGTGTGAGGGATTGGAGTTGTGTGACAAAATAGAATAGCTGAATATTAATACTTGATAATGTTGAACTTTGATTCAAAAGGGAAAAACAACTGTGCTACAAAAATTCTGTGAAATAAAGCCATGAAACAAATTCTCCACATAATTGGAAAAATATCATGTCAGGTCTTGTGAGTGTGGAATTACAGGTGAATAATGTATATTTAAATTAACTATACTGCGTTGTAGGCACTCACAGTTTCCATGTCTTGAAGGGCACTAATGATTTCGCCAGCCTTTTCTCCTCTGCTTTAGGTGAACTGATTGACAGTGATTGGCTTTGGCAAGAAACAGGAGAATTGACCAAGTAAAAGTGCAAACATTTTTTATTTTGAATTACAAGTAGATTGCTTATGTGTTACTTTACATTAGGTTTGCTTTGGCGCCAATATAGGTTACAGGTGCTTTGTTAAGTGAAAAGCAATATCTCAACATTAATTTTGTACCTTGAGTTGTGAAATGGAAGAAACTTTGATCATTTGAAAGATATAATTTCCTAAAATGCTAATTCATGTAATTATGAAAGGTGGTATAATTTTTTATGGGCAGAATAAATGCAAAATAGCTTTAAAAAACATTTTCATGGAATTCTTCAGATGAGATCTCTCCAGGGTAGCCTTTTAGGCCAGGGTGGCATAGAGCTCTTACATCAAGCAGTGAAAAAAAATAAAGGAGAAGAATCTACTTGAAAATGCAGAACATGAGCCTTAGAGGAGAGAGGGTTGTAAAATAATCTAGATACCTCACCTGCAAGCCAGAATCTTCTTACTTAAACGTGTCCTGTAGTAATGTCAGGTAGAAACCCTAATGACTGCCTTTTCATGTTGCAGAAAGCAGAAGCCACTGGAGAGCAATGGCCAAGAGGCAGACCAACTGGTGAGGAATAAGATGCCATTAATATAGTGTTCATTTGTTTGTAAAGAAAAAATTCTGGATTTTGATTGTTAAAGTTGGATTTGTTAATTACATGAATTCCATCTTCTGGTTTGATGAATCTTTGGAAGGTTAAGGTAAATGACAAAGTCTCACTACTGCTCACATTACTCCAGGTTTTTTCTCACAGCACTGTCCTCTCCAGGGTGACTCCTTTTCTTTCTCTTATCAACATCTAAAGAGTCTTTACTCCTTCTGCTGGGCCACATGAGATGGTTGTTTAGTGTTGAATAACTAATGTCAGTGGTACTAGGAAGCCTTGGAAATTGCTTACAAAGGTGATAAAATTAAGATGAAATTGTGTATGAAAACAAGAAATTTAATCTTTTCTTCTCTCCCTCCTGATGGTGTTCAAAGATGGGTTGTTCACAAAATGACACATGTCTTTCTAAGTGGCTTCTTTCTTTCTCAAGTGGTTTTTAGGAAGCAAGCGGGTTTACTTTGCTTTCTCTGGATTCCTTTAGTAATCCTTTAGTATCACTCTGTATGTAGTGACATTGGGCATCTAGCAAAGGCACTCTGTTCCCATAGCACACATTTTTTCCTGTCTTAAGGCCAGAATATGCAGTGATCACCCACCACTTCACTAATTGACCACTTGAACGATTATAATTTTCCTACATTAGATTGGGCTAAAATGACGCAGAAATTAGTGCGTCAAATACTGTGTGTGCATAACCAGAGGAGAAGATCACTTTACTAGTAACTAGTGTGACAGCAGTTCAAAGGTGTATAGAAATCCTTTCATGCTTTCTGTGTACATAATTCATATTAAATATGTGTTCACGGTTAATTTTCTTTCTACAACTGACTTAAATTCCCTCAATCTCTCCCAAGTTATTGCTTTCTAATCTACTTCATTCATTGTTCTAAAGTTCTGTTTATACACTAGCATATGTTGTCTTTCTGCTTTCACTGTTATTTGCTACATATACTCTAAATGTTATTTTTTCTCCTCTGTCTTACTGTCTGATAATCTAAATGTAACTTTACGAACTATTCTGTTTCCTCTCATGCTCATGGTATTCCCGCTTTGATGAATTTGTTCATCTCGTAGTACCCACCCAGAAATAGCTTGAGAAGCATATTAACTGTATAGCAGTATGTCCACCATTTGAGATCTGAATTTTCTGTCATGTTATTTGCCCTTTGGTAAAGACTTGAGCACAAGAATGGACTATAACCAGCTGCAGCCCTAGTGCCCCCAAGACATATCAAAATGCTGATTGACCAGCTGTGTTTCCTGGAGGAGCCTTCTTTTAATCAATTTGTTCCAGGGTTCCCTATGGGGCCTCTCACCTCCAGGAGTCAACCCAGGCAACTCCCACTCAGGACTCCAGTCACCAAGGAGTACCTTTTGGCTGGGAGGAGTAAAATGCCCTTTCTTCTTCAGTGCTGATGAGCTCAGTCTCTCATTTATCTACAAAAGAGAGGGTTCGGTTTCCTGTTCCACAAATGCGTAACGTAACAACTGAGATAAATTTTAGGATGAAAAGACAATGGAGAAGACCCTTTAGAATGCACCTCCAAATGAAAATTGGGATCCCAAGGAACAATTTCTAGGAAAGAACCAACTCAGAGTAAACCAGGACCGTCAACCAAATAGGGGAGGTCTGGAGCTCAGGAGGACTTTCCAGTTCGGCCACAGGAGAAGCTCAGAGTCAGGGGATCAAAAAGGGCCCTGACAGAACCTGGCACCGAGTTGGGGCCACTCGTTGGGGGTCCTAAGTGTTTTCTGAGCCCCATGTTGGGCACCAGGCTGGTCAACAAGAAAGAAGCCAAACTGTAAAATAATTTAAAGAGGTTTATTCTGAGTCAGATTTGAGGACCATGACCCAGAACCACACCCAAGAAGCTTTGAGCAAGTAGACTTGCTGTGGGTGGGTTACAGTTTGATTTTATACATTTCAGGGAGACGGGTTACAGGTGAAGTCATAGATCAATCCATGGAAGGCGTACATTGGTTTTTTCCCAAGAAGATGGGCCAACCGGAAGCACGGCCTTACAGGTGATAATTGGGTTTAAAGATTCTTTGACTAGTAATTGGTTAAAGACATGAAGCTCTGTCTAAAGATTTGGAAGGTTTTAAGATAAGGAGGTCTGTTAATCAGAGACAAGTCAGTGGACATGTATTTGTTGTCAGTTGAGGACCTGCAGGTTTGTTTTACATAGCCTTAGGCCTGCCAGTGAGTCACAAAGGATGTCTCCAAGAAGGGAGAAGGCATAATGAGGCATGTCTGACCTCCCTCCCTGTGGCAGGTAATTTAGTTTTAGGATAGCCCCTCAGTCAGGAAAGTTCTAGCCGAGGTCGCGTCTGTTTCTAGGCT